TGTGGTTTTTTTGGCCTTAAGTGTTTTAGTTCTGTAAATTTCTTATTTGAACAGATCAATAAAATTGATTGCTAAGTTTGTACCGATGCTACTAAAAATCTTAGGAGCACCTGAATTTTGTTTTAAATCTTTAACGTTCTAAAAATCTAAACTTCTGACAACACGAGTCACAGATATCCTTTAGAAGATAAACTGCAAGAGGCACATGCCATCACGTCACGGAAGTGCTTGCAGTGTCATCTGCACATCTGAGTTACGAAGGAAGGTGTTGTTGTAAACTAAGAAAAGAGGAGAAAACGTCTGTCCCAAATACATTTCCCTCCCCCCCCCCCCCCCCCCCGATTCCTGAGAGCTTGTCACAGGCAGCGTCTGTGATGAGTATGAAAGAAGAGGTGTATTCTACCAAAATAATGTACTACAGAAAATACAGACACGGGAGGATTTTTAAGGTCTATTTTTACGGCAGTTCTTCATTGCGACTCGCGACAAACCCATGCTAGCTTATATTTCGTACCTTTTTAAAAATTTCTCACTGCTGTCAACATAGAGTACTACCAGGTGATTTTGCATCTTTTTCACTGCAAGACAGACTGGAATTCTTGTAGCAAAACAGTCATAACAGAAGAGCTGAACTGTGTGACATTTTTATTCTGCCTTCTAAATGCCTGCAGTAGTGAGTGTTAAGAGCTGTGCTAAATGTCAACCCAAACCAGGGCTGGAGGCTCTGGATGGATACTGCCAGGGTCATCCGCCATTTCCAATGTATGTATAACGAAGCACGCAAATAGCAAAGCTAGCAGAACTGCAGTCAGGTTTTTTTTATAAATGTGTTTTTAATTTCCAGACAACAAAAAAACCCACAGGGGCAGAAGCATCTAGTATATACTTGCCTCAAATCTTTGAAATGTTGTCATACGAAATTCTCCTTTAATCCCCGAAAGCAGTAATGAAGAAGAAGGATTTTGAATGAAAAGAAAGATTTGCTTACGTAACTCCTAAGTTAAAACGAGTCTTCCTCTTGGAGCTATAGTTCCCGTATTACTCCCATATACATATATGCCTGGAGTTTTGCCTAAATACCTCTTTGAATATTCAAAAATTATACTTCGGTCTCTACATTTTCCTTGTATGAGCCTTATCCCCTTTCACGTGGCTATGGCTGTAGCTGTTTCTCAGACCTGACACGCTAACTAGAGGGAACAATATCAGCCTTAGTCGATACTCTGATGAGATCATTCACGACCTCAGTCGGTACATTAGGATTTGTGAAAATGATGTAAAAGTGATGACTAAGACACGGGAAAGCAGCAACATGGATATTTGCCTCACCACAGATTCCCCAATATCAACTCTTTATGTTCAGTAACAGCAATAAAAAGGTCCTTCTTCAGAGCTTAACTAGTATTGGCGGGAATTAGAAATTTTGATTTCCTATCGAGATTTAGAGAATCTGAAGAGTGTAACCACATTTGGGAATCTGGCTGTAGCTTCATGTCGTAACAGAAAATCATCTGCATGAGGAGGTTTCCAACTTAGCTGTACCAGATTCCAGTGTCTCATGCTGAGTCCTAATGTAGCATCTCTCCTACTTGTTCAATCGATCCCATCCCAAAATTTTCACTGATGTATCAAAAAAATTCTGGAATGACAATGCTGTAATACTTTACTATATTTGCAAATGGTTTCCACTGTCCATAGACTGTATGCGTTTTGACTACTGATTCCTCCGCACTGGTCACTTAATAGTTACAGTATTTTCTCAGTACTCACCTGCACTCTGCTGCTGCGGAATCTGAGTCTGATGTGGCAGGTTCCTACAAAAAACAACTGAATATCTTTAATGCTTCCAGACAAACTCTGAAGTATGTTATACATAAAAGCTCAGTATTTAAAATGCGGGGTTTTGCTTACAAAGCAATAATCCACTTTCACTATGCAAATACAGTTGTCAAAAGGTTAGCCAAGTCAATGAAAGAAAGAAAAGGGTAGTTCCTATTATTTTACTTGTCAAGTAGGTTCAAAGGCTCAGACTTGCTGAAACGCCAGAGGTAACAAGAGTCACCAGAGGTTTCTGATGTTATGCAAAGTTTGGTTTCCGCAAGTGATGAATAGAGAAAAGGTGATAGTCTTCGCCACTTAATTATTGGCTGTGGAATGAATGAATGTTCAACTAGTTCTACACACCTGACCAGTTCACTTAGTGAGGCAAAGTTACGTTTTTGTGTCCTGCTTAAGTGTCTACTTTAACAGCTACCAGATATTAAGGTTGCTTTTACAGAAAGGAATTAGGGGTTGGAATGTAGATGAAGCAGACAAATACTCTATGTACAACTTAAGAAAGCCTTTGGTACAGGCTTTGGCACCCCAGTCATAAAAAAATTGCTATTCTGAACAGAGAAGAAACTGTAAAAGACAGGGTAGAGCACTTTGCAGCAGTTGTACACGGCATAATTTATACAGCTGTACTTTCTGGAGAATTTCGCTTTGGGACAGGGAGAGGAAAACACTCTTCTAGCACGTATCTACATTACGAAGGGAATTCAGGGCAAGCATGTGTAAATTAGGGCAAAGTTAGTGCTGGCGCTGGACCAGCATCACTGGGGCCATGCAGGCCTGCCAGCTGAGGAGCTACCAACTGGAGCTAGTGTCATAGCACAGCACAACGCCAGCCACTTCTGAGACCGCTGCCTCAGATCTGCTCAGCCCCAGACACCCCAACCAAACCTTTCTAGAAATGCCTTTTTTCTACAGCACAACTGACTTGTCTGAATTAGAACATGTGCAAAGCACTAGATGTGTCTGTCTCGACAGTTTCATTAAGTTACCGATAAATGAACTTTAAGGAATAGAAATGAGTATTTTTCTCGTTTCTGTGTTGGAGAGAGGCTGGCAACAATGGAAGCGGCTGAGAGCTCTGAGCGTTTTCATTGGCAAGTCTGTATTTATTGTCTGTGTAAGGGAATATGCTCTTCTGTTCAATGTTAACATTTCAAACATAAACCATGTGTGACAGGTACATGACTAACTACTTACAGAGCCTGGTATGACACTACCACCAACCCAGTGGTAGTTTTATATCAGAACTCCAAAGACGTGGGTTAAGAGGCAGGGTGCCTAAAATAGAACAGTTTTAATTGATTCCTCTGTCAAAAGTAGTTTTTCTCCAAAATATGCAGAAATGTAACTGTTCCACGCAAAGCTTCTTGCCAAGTCTGCAGACTGAAACCCAGCCATTTAGTTTTATAACAGAAGGCCTTTCTTTCTGCGTGAAACGCAAACATCAGAGCAATCTTGAACTACAGAGTCATTGCTGATACCTCCATAATAAACACATTTCAGATGACAAGCACTGGAATCCATAGTTAAATTGTGCAACATAGTGAGTATTAAAAAATAAAATCTAAATACTTACTGCTGTGTTTGCATCAGGGGCATACTGGTATTATCGTAGCTGTCTGTGTGAAGGGGCGGTACGATCTCACCAGTAACTGGGTGAAACACGGGAAGCGTTGAAAGAGGCCATGCTATCTCTCTATTTTTAGACATGTCACGAAGCTCTTTGGTTGATTTCTGTATAGCACTGTGGTGGACCAACTGGATGCTGTGTCAAAAGGAAATAAAATAGTAAATACGTATCTTAAGTGCTCTAGCAAAATGGATAGACTTTTACAATTATTATTTTTCTTAAAAATACAAGGACTTTGATGTATGCTACAGACTCTATAGTGCAGCAATTACAGTAAACCTTTACATAGTTAATTTAATAAATATTGGATTTATTTAATTTTTAAGGCAGTAACTGTTCCATTAGATTTTGCTGTCTGGACAAGTATTTTTCGTAGGATCCAAGACTGTGCAATTTATGGCTAATGTTCCATTTATTTGCTGCAGTCAAAATAAAAGTTTTGGTTAACTCCTGATTCTTGTGGTAGATTCATAAAAGCTCCTAGATCAATTTTAAAACACTCCCACAGTATAGGCACCGGATACCTTCCAGGATATTTGTTCCTGTCCACTGCCTTTAAGATAGAGGCTGGGAAGTCCAATAACCAGGAGTAGAAAGTACATATTAACATATTTATTCTAACAGCACTATTTTATTTTGTATTGACAGTCGTTAATTTCAAACCCTTTTTATTCTGGTCTTCTATCCTTGCCAAGACTCTGATTTAAAAGCAGCTTTCACATTTATTAATTAAACCATGGATTAGAGAGAATGAAAGAAGATTATGACACACGTGTATGAAGCATGACAAGCCACTGAGAATGAAAATTAAATGGTAAAAGAAAAATAACAGGAAAGAAGACACTTACTCTGGTGTTTGCATGTTTCTCTTTTCCCTAAAAACAAAACAAAATTTATGAATTAAATAATAGCATTGATAGTTGGAACATTAAATCTATCTGATGATGAAAATAGTACATGATGTAGAAATGCTGACAAGGTTGTTGCTAAACGCAGCTTGGCAGCATTTGCAACTGGGTTTATGATGAGGCCTCGATGAACGCACGTATAGAGATGTGATACTGATGACAGACACACACACACAGATGCACACACAGAGAAATGAAAATGCAAGCTAAAGAACAAGCTTCTGGCTAAAATAAATTCTGTGACAAAATGAAATTGTAGTTTGTGTAAGAAATGGCAGAAATTACGTTACTTGCTGCTTTCCTTTTACGTGGTTTTCTTTTCTAATATGTTCAAATTCAGTTCATGTCCTCAACAAAATTTATTTTACAGAAGCTAGCATTTTAGAAATTACTTAATGTTTTCCTCTGTCAATGATCCTTTATCAGTATTTTATTTGTTTGGGGCATTCTGAAGCATTGTGCCTACACGGAGGTTTTGTGGAGTTTTGTGCATATGTTGAGATTTTTACCCTTTCAACTAGAACAGTTAAAGGCCCTATTATCCATTCTCTTGGCAATTACTGCATGTGCTTAGATGAGGAATAGTTCCATATTTCAAGCAGGTATCTTTTTGGCCTGTTTTAAATGTTTTTAATGAACTGAATAGAATTCTTCCAACAAATAGTCTTCTACGCATTATAGTCTTAGAAAAATCTACAATTACTTATTAGCGTGTTAAAGTACTCACACTCCTTCCCGTCGGCAGCACATGATATAGGCAAGTATTAGAAAAAGCACCAGTGCTATTGCCGAGGGCACTGCCAGTGTAACTAGGAAATCCGAGAAATAGTCTCTGCTTTTCAGTGTATCAGAAGGTGGCTTGTATTCTCCACCATCAGGTAATATCCCCTCTCCACGAATCACTTCCTGAAAGGTGGAAACTTGTTTTGTATTGTCAACCTGATACCCAGAAAAAAAAAAGAAGAAAAAAAAAAAGACAATTATATAACAAAGTAACAGAGTGTAAAAACAGGCAGTATTTAACCAGCCATAACAGATAAAAGTATCCATATTACACATTTGACAAATTCTATACAATTTCATCCAATCACTTTTTTTAACCAATAAAACCTTACATTTTGTTGAAAGCTTCTGATCAATGTGATAAGTAATATCACTTTATTACTTTATCACATCATCACACTATTACTTTCTTTTGTGCCTACCAGAGATACTATGTTTTTTACAGATTAATTTTAGGGATGTCTCACACAAACAGTATTTGAGTAAAAATTCAGTAAACATATTTATTGCAAACTAATTATTTGATACCGATTTCTTTTTGATGAATTAATCCAATTCTTAATAGTCTTCCTAAATAACAATGCTGCCCTCTCTTGTATGAAGGTGGTAGAGGTGAAGAATGGAGTACCTATGGATTTTCCTCCTCCTCCTTCCTATTGAGCTTCGCATCCAGTGCTCAAAAAAGCAAGAAGCATGAACCGAGCTGCTGAGGACCCAGCAGCTCTGTTGCCTCCCCCACCCACCCGATGCAGGCAGCACCCCGACATGAGGTGCGCATTTCGTCGATCAGAGCCAGAGTTCCAAGGTTTTTCTACCTCCTAATTCAACTAACCTCCAGAAGGCTGCATTCCTGGTCACAAGTAATATTTTATATATTTTCTTATGTCTGTATCTAGTGTTCCTAGAAATACAACCTTTTTTTGATACCGAATTTCCTACTGCATTTAATTGACTGCCTTTCCTACATGACACTTCAATTTTCTGCCTCCATTTTCTTGTTATCTTCAGTTAGCTACTACTGTTACATTCTATCAGTGTTAGTTTTAAAACTCTCTCCAGATCATTAGTGAAAATCAATTATATTTGCCTACATGCTTGACCTTTTGCCTGACTGTTCATTGAGAAATCTTGCAACTGATGGTCATTTCTTTATAATTTACACTTTAAGTCATAAAATGCTGTATTAAAACTTATGCAATGGATGAAAGGTCTTCATGCAATGCTAGAAATAATGTTGTGTTGAGCTTCAGATGCATACACATGTATATTTAAGTACAAGACAGTTTGACAAAAATTAATTTATGTATTCTTCACTCATTAAATTCTGCAGTATATTTTATGTTATGAACTCTACCTGGCTGCTTAGCTGAATCTCAAGCCCTAAGCAGATGCACAAAAAAGATGTATGCAGCTACTGATGTGACTGACAGAAGCCCATATACAGTGTGAGAACAAAGCTATCAGAAAGCAGCATTAAGAGGAAGCATGTATTAAGTTGGCCCTCTTTTCAGTATTTGGGAGCCACAAGGTTAAATCTACTCTTTGATTTAGGTGCTAACCGCCAACATCACCTCGTAAAAAGTGGGAGGAAGAGGATATGACGGTTGTATTTTCACTCACTGGTCTCTGTTGTGGTTATGGGAAACGGAGCTCAACTCCCTCCCAGACCATGGATCCTGGGGGACTTCCTGCCCCTTGCCTTGCCTTGTGAAAAGCAGACTGTGATTAGATAGAGGGAAGCGTGGCTCCATTTTCCCTTTGATCCACCAGGTTACAGCATGCAGCAGCAATGCTGTTGGCAACAGCAAACCCCCCTAAGACTGTTTAAATTCAGTTATCGTGGCATGCTGCCAAAAGAAGTGCCAAGTTCAAGAAGGTTGGGAAGGTTGGGTTATAGGCTGCTGTAGAAAATTACGCTTCTCTTTGAGAGCCTGTTCCCATTACACAATCTCTGCTTTTCTCAAAACAGCACGACAACACTGCTTCATGATTAGTTTATGAGCCACTGTTACTATCGGACGTTTTTTCTGGAGTACTCCTAACCAGCTGCTCTTCGTTCTGCATAGGTGCTGTTGATTATTCTTGCATTACTGCACTATTCCTCTGCTGCTCCTTTTGAAATTCACCTTGTTTTCTAAAGCTGTTTCTCCAGTTTCTTAAGATCTTTCTGAATTCTATCTTGTCCTTCAATGCACCTGCAGATCCTTTCAGTTTCATGGGGCCTGCAAATTTAATTTAATAAGCACATTCCATCATCCAGCTTATTAATGAAGAATGGCAAGGAATTATTAATAATCCTGCTACGATTATGGCTATCCAACCAGCTCTCCACTAGGTCCTAGCTTCATGTAGGCCGTGTTCCTGAGCTTGCTTATGAGACAGTATCAAAAAACCTTACCAAAAAGAAATGACATCTGCTGCTGCACCTCTGTTCTACTTCTTTCTTGTAGAAGGAAATCAAAGACTTGACATAGTTTGTTCTTGACGAAGGCTGACTGCCTTCTACTGTTTTTCAGGTGCTGGTAAGTATTTCTGTGTACACATGTACCTTTTGCAATTTCTCAACAGAAAGCCAATAAACAGTAAACAATCCACATATTCTTTTGAAAACAAGTATTTTCCAGCTTTCTAACAGCTTTCCTAATTATAGTGTATAGAAAGAAAGGGTTGGAAGTTATCTAATCGATTTTGTGTATGAATACCTTTTCTCATACTCAATAAATTCTTTACATTGTACAAAAAGCCTTTCATATCTCCCTTTCAGTTTCCTCTTGGGTAACGTCTGAAGCAGTTCAACAATCATCTAAGTTTATGTACCTTCACCATCTTTGTTCAAACTTATCTGCAACGTTCTCTTCCAGTACTGTCTTGATTTTCCTTACCAGAACTAAACAAAAATAACCTTAAAAAGCCTCTTTGGGAATTATACTCCTCCATGGCAAACAGTCTAGTGTTCGGTTATCATTTTTCTTGTATTCGACTTAGAAGAATGTTCCCATTTATTTTGATTTCATTAGTCAACACTATTTTCTTTTCTTTTTCTATTTCAGTTTTAACATGAAATATGTTTTAGACAATTTTCAGAAAGATTTTTTTAACAGCATAGAAATACTATTTAACCTGTCAGTGCTGTAGACTCAATATTTGAGAACACACACACATTTTAGGAAAGCAAGTGTAACTAGCAGTATTGGCACGTTGAATTAATGAACTACACCTACCTAAGTAATTCTCTCATTACTTTTAGTTCTGTAAGCCCTAGAGTTCTCTGGCCATTTATATCAATCACCGCTACTGAAAATGAATGTGGTGGTTTCATTGGTGCTAAACTCTAGCAGAATTCACACCACACAGCAAAATCCTTTCACAATCTTAAGAGTGCCTGCTAGATGGAAAACAATGTCCATCAGTCATGATAAAGTGGAATTTGGCAGAGCCGTCTGGCCAGGCTGGCAAAACTCTTACCTAAATCATGTCTGGCATAAAATATTGTACTTCTACAAACATCGTTTTTATGCAATAATAAAATAACTCACCAGAGAGATTTTACACCAGTCAATATGGAATTGAGTACGAAATTTTTTATCACAGGTTATTACAGGCTCCATTTCTTGACTGCACCTCAGCTGATTTTGTGGGTTTTCCACTTCTCGTAAGCACGAAGAGAATGGAACATCTGCCCCAACCATAACATACACACTGCAGAAAGAGATGAGTGACGGACCGTCAGGATACCTCTCACAAATCCCCAAAGGACAATGATGTACTCTTCCAAACTTTATTATTGTTCACGGTAATATTCAGCTGTGCTTTAAAGACTAAAATTACTAAAATTATTTTTCTTGATAGTATACTTTATCTAAGCATATGAATAACAGACTGAAATCAAAAAGATTTTTCTAGCTACTTATTACAACTTATTCTGTTTTGCTGCATAATGTAAATGTTTGCTCACTGTTAGAGTTGTCAATTTCTATGAAGTCATAGAGCTCCAAGTCTAAGTTCCTCATATAAGTAAATCTGTATTACATTTGAAAATCGCATTAAAGAGTATAATTTTATCTTAAGGAAATCTTCGGTCTTGCTCAGCATAGTATTTTTAAAGTTCTCCCCATGTTTTCAAATAAAATTCATGAGCACTAATTCTTTCTAAACCTAATACTAATACGAAGCTGCCAAAGCCCCCAGCTTCTCCTAAAAGATTCCATACTGTAGCTATGCACTGCCAACAAAATTTGCAGAATACCGAAAGCTGAATGTAAACTTAATACTTCATTTAGCATTACAGTACACAAAATAAGAGCTACTGTGCTAACTGTATTACTCATTTTCATGTTGAAATTTGTAGAATGCTGCTGGAAAATACAGTCTGCTGCACCAGGTAATAATGTATCAATGGATCCTGAAACACAAATTAGGTCATGGTTGCCGTTTGGTGTATAAGGCATTATCTGACTAAATGTTTGAAATGTAGCCGCTTGTGTTAAGTGGTTCTGCTATTACTCTGGCTAGTACAGAAGTCGCTTTCCTTCTTTAGATGGGCTCAGAAACTCCAGATGCAGAAAAGGGCTCTGAAACAACAATCTCTTCTGCACACATCTCGGACTTTGAACCCTCAGCCCTTTCTTAGATATTATTTGACAGAAGATATCTAAAAGTAACTAGGCATCTTTATTTTCGTCAGGGAAAAGCACTACCAGAACCATTTTTTGAAAAGACTGAATCCTTATTAGTTTCTAATTGAAGTATCATATTTCAGAACAGAATTTATGGTTATGAATCACAACCGGAACTGCAGTTTACACGCAGCAACCTAAATTCCCGATACCTCAACTTACCACTTTCAGATGAAAGTCCACAGAGCTCTTGAAGCACGTAACTAAATTTCACCGAGTACAGCTACAAATGACGCTGTTACATGCTAAATGCTCTTAGAAATCTAAGTGTCTTTGCAACCTATGCTCTATCACACCTTGTTTCACAATTCTGAGTTTTGTGAGTTGGGAACTATTGAATACTCGAAAAGTATGCCAAACGACTCCTCAGAAGTAAGACTGGAATTACAAAATAAGCATATTTACTACCAACTGTTTTATAATTAATGGAATTTATTAGTATTCCTTGGATTGTAAAATCAATATATAGCAACTGTCGCCTGCTGAAATGGTGTCTAACATGATAAACCCACGGTATAACGGGAGCTCAGAACATCAGTAAACTTTTCATAGCTAACACCAATCTGGATTTCCAAAATATAAAACAGCAATTGCAAGGTTTCTAGAAAACCTGAAAAAATATTAAGCTTTTCAGTAAGAAAAAGAAGAGTAAAACAAAAACATTAGACTGACACATGTGCTTACCCCTCTTTCATGTCATTAATAGGGAGTGGAACTCTCCCTCCCCTGTCGAGGGCTGAAGTAATGTTTATAGCGTTCAAGCGTTCTGGCTGCCACACATTTTTCACTGCTCCAAGAAAGTCACCAAGAACTTCACTCGCTAACATTTCTTCTACGTTCATGTTCCTTATGAAGAACTCCGCTTGATACGGTAAAGGAAAATCTAGTTGTGATGAAAAAGGAAGAGTTTTGCCTTAAAAAAAGGCTCCATAACAAAGAATTTGAAGTAATGATTAATGTAATACCACTTTAAGATTGATACACCTTTCCAAAAATCTTGTATTTGAACTAGTTCATTTTGAACCTAATGTGATTATGTTTAATTAAATAGTTAGTACTATTAGCTGTTACTTAAGCTGAAAACCGTTGGCTATTTATAAAGCAACTGGGAGATGAAGGAGCGGACCAGAGGAGAAGAGTCTCAGCTGGTAAATCTTCATTAAACAGATAAAT